AAGAAGAATAGGGACATCCACTTCTGACAAAGCTGTCCACTGAAAACTATGAATAGCCACAAAAGACCTTTTTTAAGCGTTGAGATGCCACTTTGAAGACTAAGGTATGCCTAACCCAAGCCATGGTTTTTTCAGTCACCTCACATGCATGTGAAAGCTAGACAATGAATAAGGAGGACCAAAGAAGAGTTGATGCCTTTGAATTGTGGTGTTGATGAAGAATACTGGAAATATCATGGACTGCCAGAAGAACGAACAAATCCATCTTGGAAGAAGTGCAGCTGGAATGCTTCTTGGAAGTGAGAATGGCCAGACTTCATCTCACCTACTTTGGTCATGTTGTCAGAAGGGACCAATCCCTGGAGAAGGGTATCATGCTTGGTAAAGTAGAGGGTCATCAAAAAAGGGGACCTTCAATCAGATGAGTTGACACAGTGGCTGCAACCATGGGCTCAGGTATAGCAAGGATTGCGAGGATGGTGTAGGACTGGGCAGTGTTTTGTTCTGTTGTACTTGGGGTCACTATGAGTCAGAACCAACTCAGCAGCACCTAACAACAACATTGCCTAAGATGTCAATCTTTATGCATTCGATTTTGTTTTAGACAGCTACTGATTTTACTAGATTCATACTTAGTACATTCCATGTTCCAATTATTAATGGATGTTTGCAGCTGTTTCTTCTCATTTTCGATTGTGCCACATCAGCAGATGAAGGTCCCAAAAGCTTTACTCCATCCACATGATTAAGGTCACCTCTACTATGAGGACGCAGCTGTTCCCCAACATATTTTGAGTGCCTTCCAACCTGAGGAGCTTGTCTTCCAGCATTATTTTAAACAGTGTTTCGCTGCTATTCATAAAGTGGCCTGTTTTTTCAGAAGCAAACCGCCTCTTCCTTCTTCCTAGTATGTCGTAGTCTGGAAATCCCCTGAAACCTTCCCACCATGGTGATCGTGTTGGTATTTGAAGTACTGGTGGCATAGCATCCAGCATCACAGAAAGCCACCACCATATGACACACTGACAGGTTTAGATCTGCTGTGTTATTTATTGCCACATAGCAGATTACCCCAGAACTTGGTGGCTTACTATAGTGTTTATTATCGTACAGTTTCTGTGGGTCAGGTATTCAAGTAGATGCAACTTAGCTGTGTCCTCTGACTCTGAGTGTTTCACAAAACTGCAGTCAAGGTGTCAGGAGGAGTTCAAATTATCCTAATGCTCACCTAGGGGTAGCTCATATTCCAAGCTAACTCAAGTAGTTGTTGGCAGGATTTAGTTCCTTTTGGTTTTTTCTCCTTGAGGGCCTCAAGTTTCTCACCAGCTGTTGGCTACAGCCCCTCTCATAGTTTTTTGCTACATGGATCTTTTCATAAGGCAGCTCACAACATGGCACCTGGCATCTTCAGAGAAGCAAGAGTATCAAGTGAGAGAGAAAGTCCTAGCAATATGGAAATCAGTCTTTTGTAACCTAATCTTTGAAGTCATATCCCATTAGTTTTGCCTCATCTTGTTTATTAGAACCAAGTCACTTGGTCCAACCCACATTGAAAGGAAGGAGAATACACAAAGATATGAATACCAGGAAGCAGAAATTATTACTTCATGTCAGAAGGCTACCCATCCCTAATATCAAGAGAGAGACAAGGAAGGTACAAGGGAGGCCTAGATCAGTCAGGTTCGACTCACCCCTGGAGGTGAAGTCAAGTCCCCAAATCATACGGCTATCATACAGTTGAGCCAGGAGGATGGAGGGTGGAAGATAGAATAAACGTTGAGAGAACAGCTACAGTATTCACTATAACCACTAACCAGTATTCATTCCTTTATTCTTCTGACTCTGAGCCTGAGCCTGTAGTCTGCCTCCTTATGCCTCCCCATTTCTCTCTGTATCAAATCCAAGTTCCTTATTCCATCATATAATGATCTTCATTATATCTGGTTCCAGTTTCTCTTTCCAGCCTCATCTCACCAGTTCCTGTCATTTATTCATCAAACTTTTTGATTTTGGTATCTCTTTATATTCTTGAAAATTATTGAGGGTTCCAAAAAGCTTTTGTTTATGTAGGTGAGAGCTATCAATTAGAAATGAAAACAAATTTTGAAAGTAATGTTGTTGTTGTTGTTGTTGTTGTTGTTACATGCCGTTGAGTCAGACCCAACTCATAGCGACCCCTCTTTGGGTTGCTGAGACAGTATCACTATGGAAGTAGATTGCCCAACCTTTCTTCTGAATGGCTGGTGGGTTTGAACTACCAGCCTTCTGGTTAGCAGTCAAGTGCCTTAGGCACTATGCAACCAGAGCTCCTTCTGAAAGTAATAATTCATTTTAAAACAATAAGCCTATTATTTAACATAAATTACAGTTATGAAAAATAACTGCATTTTAAAAAGCATGACATTGTTTTTACATTTTTGCAAATCTCCTTAATGTCTGGTTTAATAGAAGACAGCTGGATTCTCCCATCTGCTTATGCATTCAGTCTTTTACAGTATGTTATTTTAAAGTATATACCTAGCCTTACATAGAAATTCAGTTAGAAAATGAAGATACAATATTATTCTTTTTCAGATAATTGTGGATCTTCTTCTTTGATATTATACCAGTTCTTTAAGTGGTAGTTTCTTAAAGATGAATTGCAGTGTGACATGTGATTTTTCATAATGTGTTACATTAAAATCAACTAATCTATCTGAAACAGAATAATTCAGCTCTTTGACCCATGCATGATTTGTTATAATGTATTGGTCATTTGGAAAACATTGGCTCAGAGTTACTCAGGTCTTCCATGGTTGACTCATTTCAAATGTGTATTTTTTTAAAATCATATTTGTTAATGTTACCACCTATCTCATCACGAAAGTATAAGGAAGCTGTCAATCAATCTTACAGAATTCAAGTTTTCCAAACTTCAGATTTTTACTTTAAAGCTCCATTTTTATAAATGGCAACAATAACTACCAGTTGTTTTCCTTGAAGTAATAGGCTCACATTTGTCTATTTTCAGAAAACGCCAAATTCCAAGTCTGAATAGCCATTATTTTACTGTTGTCATTCTTTTCAAGTATAAGATGGTGTTCAGGGAAAAAAATCCTTGTGACTTTTACTGCCTCCTATCTTCTCATTGCCTTTTGGGTATCTCAGCATTTCAATGTCCCTTAAAAGCGAATCTAATTGAATTAGTTAGCCATTATCCAACATAGGGTGGCATGGCACAGAGCATCGCAACTGCTGTTTACTCAGAGGGCACTTCAGGTCTGGCAAACAGCACCATGCCCAGAACATACAATATCATGAATTAACAAGATAGAAGTTTTCTATATATAGGTGCAAATAGAATGGTTAAGATATAAGATGTACAGGAAAAAAGGAAACCAAAATGTGCTCCGATTTTATAATTTACTTTTACAAATGCCTGTTTGGCACACTGTCTTGTTTAGAAACAAAAGCATGTTCTTAAAATTGTGTTTGCATTCTGGTGCCACCTTCACTTTGTTTGAAACATTAATAATACTCTGAAGCTGCTATGGGACCATCTGTTTGAAAATATTCTTCCTTATGGATTGGGTAGTAGTTAATGTAAATTTTCTACCAATGTAAACAGAATTTACTTTTACAATAATATGAGTAATAAGACATTGATAAAAGTTACTGACAATTTTTCATTGTTTTAATGGGTATGTCCTCCATAATATCTGTGAGTATATTCTTATATATCTAGTGCTTTTATCTATTAATAATTAGGAGTCAACAGACAATCTATTTTGCAAAATCACAGGTTTTAAATGTGATTTTTTTCTTTTTTTTAATTTGCTTCCTCATTCTCGTAGATAGAGAGAAATATATTTCTGCCATCTTGAGATGGTAAATTTGGTCACTTTTTCTCCTTTGAAGGTCCTGCAGTTGTTTACATATAGTATTATTTCCAGTAACATGTAGGTGTTGGCTGCCTAAGTGAAAACACACCCTGAATGCACACATGTGCTTTCAAAACTAAGTTCAGTGCACTTAGTAAAGAGCTGAAGCAGACTGTCTTTAGAACAAATACAAGGGAATCTGAGTTCCCTTGTTCACTCATCCCCTGAGAGCATTACTAGGGGGGGGTTAATATATTTGGGTTAATAATGAAAAAAACAAAAATAGCATCCCTTTGGGGAAATGTAACCTGACACAATTTGAAGTGGAACCCAAATTAAAACATAATTCTTTTATGAGACAGAAATATTTTGTTTTACCTTTTTCATGGGAATGCCATATAAATTTTAAAAGAAATTTGGTCTGCTTTCATTCTTTTAGTTTATTCAAAAGCAAGAAATCAGAGATTTTGTACATCTTGATTTTGTTAACTCTTGTGTATTTTTTTGAGTCAGGTGTCACAACTAATTTAATTGAAGTGTTATACAGAATAATTTGAATACACTCTTTAAGTGCTTTTTAAATTTTGATGCAGTTTACCATTCTTTCTGACACCATACTCGCCCAAAGATGGATGACCTCAGTTTCTTCACTGACTTTATTAATCCCCACGCAGAGCTGTACAGAGTACATACTGCTACAGTCTATGTTCTGCTAGACAGTAGAACAGCCTTTACTCTTTTAATGGAATACTAAAAATACACTAATTGTATGGTTAAAGCATTCAGCTGCTAACCAGAAGGTTGGCAGTTCAAACCTACCAGCTGCTCTGAGGGAGAAACTTGGCAGTCTGCTTTTGTAAAGATTTATAGCCTTGGAAACACCATAGGGCAGTTCTACTCTGTCCTATAGAGTTGAGAGTTGTTATGAGTCAGCATCAACTTGGTGGCAGTGGATTTTGCTTTAGATATGAGGCAAAACTTCAGAAGCTCTTCTTGCTAAGTAATGTTAGTTATACACAGCAGCTTTAAATCTCAAAAAATCCAGTTATATACTGGTTAGATGTAGATAGCTCTCATTGTCAGTATCCTGAGTCATCTAAAGGTTTGTTTCCTTTCTCTTTTTTTTTTTTTTTTTTACAGACCTAACTACCACAGAGAATGCTGCATATTAAGAGAAACCACAAGAAAGTTATACGTTTGGTTGTCTAATATTCTTGGATTTGATACGAACCAACACATAGTCATTGTTGTCATTGACAGACACCAGTTTGTATGTACATTATTCACATTCCTCTCTGTTGTGTTTAGAAAAAAAAGACATTTTAGCCTTTTTTAAGGTTACTGATTTAATTTAATGTTACTTGGTTGCATGAAGTTGCCCTTAACCACTAAAGATAATGAAGATTTTTGCACAGATTTATACATGTCTAGGATCCTTTTATTAAGGCAGTTATGCTCATCATTCTCCTGCCTTTACCCCACCATCACCAAACAGTTCAGTATAAATTAGCATTTTTTAAATCATCACTCAGTGCTTAAGGATGGGATTTCCTCTCTTTGACAGAACCAACCCAGGAATTAATTTCTAGATGCATAATGGTGGTATATTGAAGATGAAATTAAAATTGTCCTTCAGTTTTGAGGCCATGTATGTGTAAAGTTTAACCATATTGTAAAATATCTATTCTGTATTAGAAATAGCTAGTTGAGAGCTTATACTTCTCAAAACTCATGTTGTTACGTACACAAACTCAGTTTCTGTATGTGAAGTTAGTGAGTCTTTGTGTTACTCCAAAATAAAGGCAGTGATTTATTTTTTCCCAATGCCAATACAATTTGAGCTAATAACTCAAGGTGGGTACTTTACATTTTAAAGCTGGAATCAGCAGCAGCCCTATGGGAAACCAACAAAGCATTGACTTTTAAATATAAATTTTTAAAAGGAACTGTTTTCTTTTGGACCTAGAGTTAGAATAGTTACTGTTCATTCCACAAACCATTATTATGTGTACATTATTGTTGCTATTGTGATAATAGAGAATTTTATTTATTTTTATGCCAACTTAATTGTGAGAACACATTTAGTCAGTTTGGGTTTTATCAATCCTGTTATGCTTGTCCTTGGAACATCTTTCGCGTATTCGAGGTTTGTAGTTGAAAGTTTACTGTAAAAAAAAAATCAAAATCAAAAAAATGTATTGTTTTTACAGAATAAATTTATTGGAATGTGTACTGAGAGTAAGATTTGAGATTGTGAGCAACCAAGTTAGTGTAATTTGGCTTCATATATGTAATAATGTGAGGTATTAATGTAATTCATATATTAAAGCAAAAGTTGTTAACAGCAAGTTGACAAATAGAATCAAGTGCAGGTGAGGGTTTTCTTCTACTTTTTTTTCTTTTAAACACTCTGGGTTTTAGGTTATTTGAAAATACTGGGGGTAAATGGCAGTGTGATTTGCTTACACATTAAAATAATCTCTATCAGCTCAGTGAACCCTAGATTCATACTTAACATTATCCATGCATTGATTGTGTATCCCATTTTCTTATCTTGGTGAAGAGCTAATAAATAACATGCAGAGAAAATATGAGAAGCCCTAAACTTTGAGGGTCATTGATGATGATGATGAATGTTACTGAAGGTAGCTGAGAGAATGAAAGCACCAAGCTACTTTCTACTCTATGACACATTAAGGTAATGGCTCTATTTTGGCTTGTTTTGCTTATTTAGCAATATGATTGTCTCTATTACATTCATACATAATTCTGAATATGAAAAGTTGACTGAAAAAAAAAAAGATAGGGATGTCAGTCCAGTTCCTTTTTTCCTTTTAAAAAAAAATTCTCGAATTTTGAATATTAATTAAAATTCATCAGAAGACCTCACCATTGTTCATACTTAAAACATAAGAACCTAAATAACATTTGAATTGGAAAATATAACTGACAGATTTTTTAAATAAGTCTAATAAAGACTATAAAACTTGTCATTAAAAAATATATACAGAATGTTTCAAATGTAATAAAATTTGTCTTCATAAAAGGCCCAAAATAATTTTATTAAAAATACACACAGAAATACAATAAAAGTATTATCACCAATAAAATAAGAACTCATTAAGGGTAATGGTAAGATTATTGATCCTTCTTCAGCTATTTAAGTTCACAAAAATAATTTAGTAAAAGCAGTTTTCAAAACAGTAAATAATATACTTTCCTTGGGAAAACATTTTTCAAAGAACATTTAAAACTAATCTGCCTTTCATATTGATTAAAGTTGACAATGAAGCATATGTAACTTATATGCAAAACTTCTCCAGTCTGCATTTGCTACTTTGAATTTTTAAATATGCATAGACCCAGTCACTTGTGAATAATTTCATCTTCATGCTTATTAATGTGGGAGCTAAATTGTAATATTTCACACTAACAGTTATTTACTGTGTACAAACAGTGAGACAGATGATCAGGCTTATTTACAAATAAGTTAGAATATATTTCTTTTAAGATACTGTTTCTCAACAACTTCAGTTCTCCTTCAGAATAGGACAAAAAATTTACCTGCACAATACCATATTATAGCTCACACATACAGTGCAGAGCAGGAATTAAGTGTACACATATGGGAAAGGAGTAAAATGGGACAAAATATCAGAACCAATATAACAAAAGTTTAGTAACTTAGAAAGAAAGAACATAAAGCAATGTTTTTATTCAACTTTTTCATCTGTCTTTGTTTTTATGAAGAACTCTGGTTTATAGATACAACGATAGGCCAAAAGCTGAGGAAGAATTCCATATGCTATGTTTAATACTAAAAAAAAGATTTTCGCTTCTTCAGGGACTCTGTAGACATAAGCAGTTCTAGCATGAAGAGAAGCACCAATGTGGGAAAACTGAGCCTGTTGCATAAAACAAAAATGGGTAAGCATGAAATTTGTGTTCAGATAGATGCACAATGAGTTCTGAATGGATCATTCAAACTATGTTTGTGTGCCCTCAGAACCAGTCTCACCTGTAGGCAGAATACTTTCAAACAATCCACAGTCTGCACTATTTCATTGAACTTAGGGCCTTTCCTGATAAAACTGTTCAAATGATACCTTTTTTATTGTGGCTGTACTATGCCAGATGTGCTTTTTAACCATTCCAGTGCCCTATAGCAAACATTACCAAAACCAGTTGTCATCAGGTTGATGGAGACTCATGGCGACCCCATGTGTGTCACAGTAGAACTGTGCTCCATAGGGTTTTCAGTGGCTGGTTTTTCAGAAGTGGATCATCAAGCCTTTCTTCTGAGGCACTTCTTGGTAGACTTGAACCTCCAACTTTTCATTTATACCACCCAGGGATTCCATACATTAGTAGCTCAATTTAACAAAAAAGAAAAAAAATGTGAATAAAATCTCAATTATTTTCCCAATTTGTGTTCTGGAGATTCTATGTAGGAACCTAGTGGAGGCGTAAAATTGTGTATCAATAAAAATGAAGAAAGTATAGAGTTTGGAAAGCTGAAATAGATTTAGTGTAAGGAATTAAAGAGAGGCACTGAGGACCTCAGTTTCATTTATCAGTCTTTCACCTACTCCATAGAGCAATAGTTCAAAGCCTTCTCATTATGCATTTTTGTTTATTCATGTATCTATTTTTTTATGCAACTTAAAAAAAATACCAAGGGTTGTTTTGTAAGAAAAAGTTGTTACTAACTTGGGTATGTTTGCTCTTTACAAAATGGTAAAGTACATGCAGACAACCTTTTCATATCAAATTATAATTTATTTAGAAGTATGGCTTGTCAGCATAATTTGAGTTTGCAAAATGAAAAGGGAAGAGCCTCCCTCTATACTTATATACTTGTTCAGAACAAACATTCAGAATGTGCTAGTTGGTCTTTTTTTTTAAAATACTTTTCATAAGCACAGAGGAAAACTGTAGTAGAAAGGGTAATAATACAGGCCTCGAGCAGGATTAAAGGCTCCTGTGAAAGGGTTTCCTCAGGATGCTTGTATCATTACAGAATCCAACCCCCGAGTCTACATTTTTAGATCTTGCTGAAATTCAAGACATACATGAATAAAGGATTGGGAATTTAAGTGCAATAAGTGGTAAAGCATTAGGATTGAAGTGAAAAGATACTACAATCTAGAGAAAGCACAGAAGTAATGAGAATGAAGAGCTAAATAATTTAAGTACATATAATTTTTATTTCCTTCCATATGAAATCAATATATTCTGCTAAATCGTTAACAGATTGTGACTTACCACCTGACTTTACCATGAAAAGAAAAGGACAAGCTTTTAAAGCATCATCTTTATGAATTTTTGTCAGTGGCAGATACTTTAACAAGCTGTATTTTTACAAATTTCTGATACATCCTGGAGACCTGTGGTACTTTTTTTTACTACTCCCTAGAGACAAACATTATAAAGGAATGTAATATGTTGCCAAGGACCAATAACACCTCTGAGTTGTTATCCATGAGGCACTGAGAGGGCTCTGCCCTCAGATATACCTTCCCTGGGGCAGATGCCCAAATAGAACCCAGCAAATGTTATTAAGCATTTGCATCTCTGGAGTGTGAGGACAAAAGACCTTGAGAGTAAAGGCACCCGAGGAGCTGCTGTCATGGACATTCTAGGAACACTGAACAGGAGCTTTGTCCACCCCATCACTGTTTTTTCCTAGGGCCTGTTTTGAATAACAGAGTTTGCTTAAAAATACATGTAAACTTTTTCTTACAGACTCAAGGTCATATTTGAACCATGCTTTTCAGAAATGTGGCTTTGGTGGCTCCATCTTTATTGATACTTGTACATATCATGAAATCACCAAATTTGGGGAAATGCCAACTATACTTTGAGAGATTAAGTAATAAGAGCAACCGTGCCTACTTACATGGGGAAACCTGTTAAAAAGCCAGTGTGATTCTACAGGCTCTTTTCCTGCACTAATCAGTGCAGATAATACCTCATTTTCATGAATTGCAAACTCATGGCAACATTATAAAATGATTCATGTCCATAGGATAGATTGTAAGCCCACCGGGCAGGTACTGTCTGATGTTGTGTGTGGTACCTACCACATTGTTAGAGCTCAATAAATGTTCAATAATAATGGTCTTGTGACTGTCAAAATACAGAAGGTTCTACAAAGCATTTCTACATTATTATACCTATTTGAGTAAACCTTTTTCTTCAGGATTATTTAACAAGGGACAAAGATTACAACATACCTAATCAAAAGGGGTGTCTGTGTGAGAGAAGAACCCTGAGGCAAATTGTCTGCATTTGCCCTCACTGTAATACTAATGGGTGTATTTATAGTGACTACACCTCCAGCTGAGTGGGTACCCAGCCCTAACTTACTCCTAAGGCCTATTCCTGGCCTTAATTTGGAGTTGAGAGAAAAACCTCAGAGCACCCTTTCCAAGCACCAAATTGATAATGGGCTGCACAATGTCTCCTGTGTGATATTCCCACCAGCACAGGAGGCCTCCCTGTGACAGGGCTTGAAAAGCTTACCCAGAGCACTGTGCTGGGGTTAGAGTGACTCAGCAAACACTGCTGCTACTTACAGGGACAGTTTATAAATTTAATGATATGAGGCTGAGTCCCTGATAATTTTTCTTCTCATTTATTCTACCTGAAATAATTAAGAGGTCTATTTTTTTTAGGGTGGATTATGGGAATGGTATGGACAACGAAGCAATAAAGGGAAAAAAAGGTTAAATGTCAATAGCTCTGTTTTCTTATATTTATAGAGACAACCTGGAAAAAATTACTAAAATTACAATTCTGACTCCAGCAGGGAGATGTGAAAGTGTTTTTGTGTGTCCGTGTAAATATTGCAGGCAAAAAGCAATGTGAACATTGGAACAATTAACCAGGAAGTTTGGCCTGTACAGTATAAACATCTGATCCACAACTTATATTGGTATCTTTTCTTTGAGTTTTCTGGGCAGCACAGTATAGTGATTAAGAACACTGACTCTGGAAATAGACTGCTAGGGTCAAATCCCACCTCTACCACAAACTAGCTGTATGACCTTGAGCTAGCTATGGAACCTCTGACCTCATCTGTAAAGGAGCATAATAATGGAATGTCATAGGATTGTTATGAGGGTTAAATGAGTTGATACATGTTTAGGTATTTAGTGCCAGGCACGTGGGGCTGTTCCACAGGCAAAAATACACAACTCAATGAAGTTAAATATCTGTTAATGAACTGGGGGGGGGGGGGGTCTCTACTTTGTTCTAAACCTGGGCTCTTGGGTCTTAGATCCCTTTGTTGACCTTTTGACAATTTCATGATAGTCACTGTCTCTACCAAAAAGATAATAAGATATTAAACCCAAACTCTAATTTTAATACTAATAATCACACCAAAAGCAAATGATTAAAATGAGATTTATATTAGTATCCCAATTATCCATGCTTTTCCTTTACTTTCAGATATTTTTTGAAGGTTTCTATAAAGGAAAAATTTGTGAAATTCACCTCCAGGAGAATCAATTCTCTACAACCAAATTATCCACAGATAAGCCTCTAGACCCCTTTGTGAGAAAGTACATGGAATGGGAAGGAATGCTGCCTGCCTTTCATAGTGTTTACTGATCCTGCTTCACTGACTGTGGGTGTTACTGGATGGAGCAGCAGCTACCTGGCAAGCCTGTTGTGAATCTGTCTTAAAGTTTTCTCCCACTTTCTTTGAATTTAAGTAATTATACAGATAGTTTAATTGTCTACAGATTAATTTGTGTAGCTTCTGAGCAATGTAAGGTATTTCTCTTCCAAACTGTTCACTGGGAATCATAGCTCCAATAGTAACAATAATAATCATGATAATAACAGCAACAGTGGGTTATGGAGCTTGTTATGTGCCAGGTCTCTCTAAGCTCTTTGTATATATTCATTCATTTAATCTTCAACCCTAGGAGAAAGGTACTGTTAGTATTCCCATTTTACAGAAGAGAAAATTCAGGATTAGAGAGGTAACTCAGATCATTCAGCTAATCAGTGGCAAGCTGGAATTTGAACTAGTCTGCCTCTAGAGCCCTGCTCTTCACCATATTTATTGTAGGGTTTTTTGTTTTTTAATTCTTCATTGATGTTTTAGCCAAGAAAAAATTCTTCAATTGACAGATAATGCTAAGAAGTAGACCTAAGCCTATAACATTTTTCAAATGAGACTCTGCAACTTTAATCTTATGATAAGGATCTTAAATGAAAAGACACTTGAGTTGTAAATGTTGAGCATCCCCAATGGAACTATTTGGCATAAAATGTGACATTTTATTTTATTCCATGTTCTTTCATTTTTGATTGATCTTTTTATTTCTGAAGATTTGGCATACTGAAAGCAGGGATCCATTACCACTCAACATGTTTTCAGTTAACTTGCACTGTTACATTTTTTTTTCTTTCCTATTAAATTGGATACACTCTTAGAAATTCACTGGACCTTTTGATAAAATCATGTTCTGTGCAGGGAGGTTAGTGGGATTGTCAGTGCATAAGCTTTCTACATTAGGGATGGCAGTTTTAACAAGTGAGAGGTGGTGGTCAAGATGGAGAGTGTCAGATGCTCTCCTAAGATAAGAATCCTTTTCCTAAGCAAGTAAGTATGTGGTAAGTAGAAAACAAATCACATAACTGGAATTCAGCATTCTGATCATATGCACTGCTTTGTTGCAACATAATTTTAACCTCTCCTTAGACTAAATGCTATGAATAGATTTTATTAAAGCAGCCAAGATTTATGGGAATGTAAGACATACAACTGTTTGAATATGCCACTCTCCACCTGCTGGGCTGGGAGAAACATCCTCTGACATTTCCAGGATCTATGTAATCCTCCTTAGAATGGGCATGCACTCCCCAGCAAGAGACCGGCTTCAGGCTACCTTGTCAAACAGCTATGATGGATAAGCCCAAGGATTCCTAAAAGGACTGGAGCCTCGTTGAGTGGCCACTTCTGTTGTCAATTGCTCTGTAGTCCACTCTGCCCTTCCCAGAACTTCCCAGTTGCAAGCTTAGCCCCACCAAAAGGTAGAGTCTGGAGTTAGTCTTACTGCTATCAGCTCGGGCACCTGTTTTCTCCAAGCTAAGAACTGAACTCTGAGCCAGCTAAGACCTTAACACCTGAACTCTGAGCAATCTTACCCTCCAAAAAAAAAAAAAGCGAGTGGGATGAGAGTATGAGGGACCTCTGTCTTGAAGGACATTGGAGAATAAGCAGAACCAAGACAAGGAAACAAATGCCAAGGTTTATTCTATGTCTTATGATCTGCTGCGCATTTCCACACTTACAGCTTCCTCTTCATACTGTTCCCTGGGGAGGCTCAGTCTAAGAGCCCATTCAGCCTTCAAAGCCCAGTTCAGATGTCAGCCCCCATCCCAAAGGTTCTCCAGCTCTTCCCCATTCCATGTACATTTACTGTAGGACTCTGTGCCATAGCTAGTTACCTGTCTGCATAAAGGGAGAAGTCCAGAAGAATGTGGGCTTTGGAGTCAGACAGGATTTCATATCCCTACTCTATCATTTAGCAGCTATGAAACTTCAGGCAAGTAAAAGATGTCCCGTGCCTCAACTTTCTCATCTATAAAATGTGAGTAAAAAACAACTGTGGTGGTGCTATGCTATGTGTTCACCACCTAATTTCCTTTAATAAGGCACACAGGAAGACTATATTTCCCAGCCTCACTTGCCATTGGGTCTGGCCCTTGAAAATATCCCACATGAACTTTGCATGAGCAAAAACTAAAGCTTTATTTGCTACTGAATATTTGTTACAGCAGCAGAACACACAGCCTATCCTTACACGAATAGGTAGGTAGGTGAACACTTAGCTTCCCTTGTCTGGTGTGGAGAAAGATAATGAGAGCTTAGACTAGTCTGAGTCATGTCAGTAGAGCTAGAAAAAAAAGAATGGATCTGAGAATTACTCTGAAGGTAAAACTAATGAATCTATAGGAGCTGTATAGGGTAAGGGAACAGCAGGTGTGAAGAACTGCTTCACGTTTTAGGCTTGAGCTGCTGGATGCAAAAGGTAGAGAAAAATGGAAGAGAAGTTGTAGGGGGAATCAAGAGCCCTATTTTAGTCATTAATTCTGAGATGCTAATGAGACATCCAAGTGTCAACATTATGTCTGAAAGTAAATCTGGAAGGTGTTTCAGCTAAAGATAGAAAATTGGGAACCATTAGTTTAGTATTTATATCCACTGCTATCAAGTCAGTTCTAACTCAGTGAACCTATAGGACAGTTACTGCCCCATAGGTTTCCAAGGCTATAAGATCTATGAAAGCAGACTGCCACAGCTTTCTCCCATGGAGCAGCTGTGGGTTTGAACCACCAACCTTTTGGTCAGCAGCTAAGTGATTAACTACTGTACCACCAGGGCTCCTCAGTATCTAAAGATAACAGAAATAAATAAGGACCTGAAGAAGTCTGGTTCTCTGAGGTCTATAAAGGAGAGCAACCAGCAAAGGGGACTAAATATTTGCTCTCTTCCCTCTTAAGTCTTTGCAGGAATCATTGCCTCTGGACACAGCATCAACTTTTGTTATATTAATATTCTAATTATATAATTTAGATGAAGAAATTGATCCAGTAACCCCATAAAAACTTATTTTTCAACTCTATGAATTCTTTATAGTACATTTTTTTGCCATCATGGTTACTAGAACCACTAATGCCTAAAGTTTCTGGGTGAACCTCCTCCTTAAGCCTGCTTGAGAGCAAGATGAAGATCAAGAATTAAAAAGATGAGTCGTTTTTTTTAATTTCTAGTAAGAGGAAAAAAGACCTAAAATTCCTTAATTTTCTTCTTTGTTCAAATGATTGATTTGTTTTGCTAATTGTTATCTGGTAAAATGTACTCTTAATAATATCCCATAGGTAATTTTCCATTCAATGTACGAGCATTCACTGAGCACCTCCTTTAGGCCAGGTACTTGGCTAAGGTGTCAGGGGTGGGAGTCAGCAGTGATTGAATGATAGGTTCTGCTTTCCAGGAGCAACATTTTTTAGGCCTTTTTCCCTGGTTCTGCATAACATAATACAGTGGGATTCTGAAATCTTAAATTTAGATATCAAAGATAACTACTTGATGCGTTTTCGGTAGGCATGGTGCTCAGAGACTGGGAAATGGTCCTATAGAACAGCAGTGCCGCTCTTGGATATGTGACCTTGAACAAATCATTTAACCTCTCTGGACCTGTTTCCTTATCACTAAAACTGGATGGCATTCCTACCAGACAGTTATTGTGAGGCTTAATAAAATGTGTATGCAGAAATGTATTATATACAAGAAAGAACTCTACAAAGGAGGACTATGGGGGGAAAAAAAGACAAAGGGAGACAGGATGTTTAATAACTACTTCCTGTCCTAAAATGAGGAGCCCTGGTAGCACAGTGTTTAAGTGTTCAACTGCTAATTGATAGGTCAGCAGTTCAAACCTCACCAGCTACTCCACAAGAGAAAAAAACCTGTCAATCAGCTCCTATAGAAAACCCACAGAGCAGTTCTACTCTGTCCTGTAGGGTCACTATGAGTCAGAATTGAGTCAGTGGCACATGTTGTTTGCCGTCGAGTCGGACCCGACTCATAGCGACCCCTCCTTGGGTTTCAGAGGCAGTATCACTACGGAAGTAGATTGCCCCATCTTCCTTCCGAGGAGTGGCTGGTGGGTTTGAACCGCCAGCCTTCTGGTTAGCAGTCAAGTGCCTTGGGCACTATGCACATAACAACCCAGAAACAATGAGCAGAGATGTTTTCCACATTTCTAACAATGACAGCTAGACCACCAGTAGACTTTCTTAATACAGAATATTATGAATACCTGAGCTAGACCTCCAGCATGTATCAGGCTTACATCAGGCATCCAGGAACATCCAGGAACCACTAAGCCATAAAGTGCAATCACAAAGTAAGGGACAGAATAGAACATATACGCCAGCATCTGTATTACAACAGAGAAATAACACCATCAGCAAATTAACAATTAAATTTAAAAAAAAATAATAACATTTTCATTTTTGAATTAATTCCTACAGGGGACATATTTTCCCATCAAAAAAGAAAACTAAATTTTAGAAAAATCTTAGGCTTCATAACTACTTGACCTGAATTTTAGGATAAGCAACAGGATCCTTTAGGTAGGGCTCTTGAAATTGCATATATAATCGGCAGAGTTCAGCCGGGCAGTCCAAAGCAATCTAAGAACAAAAGTGAATTCATTATAAAGATATAATCACATCTGGCTTTTAGATGTACTGATACGGATAAATGTCCAATGTAGTCACAAGTTGCTTTGATATTTAATAACGATGCACTGTACAAGCTCATCAGTGAAGGGGAAGAAAGGTTTGCTCTGTGGAGATTAAGCAGAAGTTAGTGGGTTAGGAAATGGAACCTAATGCTCTATTCTTAGGTACCAATAGCATACTCAGAAAGTTTAAGTATCTAGGTAGCCAAGGCACAGCCTGCTTAAGATTATGTTTCACTTTTCCTACGAATAAATCTAGCAGGCTATATTGGTACTCCCTATAGGAAGAAAAGTACATTTCTATACCAAATTCATCTTACAATGCTTGGCAAGATTCAAAAATAGCATCCTCTTCTCTCCAGTGGCTCACAGAAGATATGGCTTTTGGGGGCAGTAAAGGATAATGATTTGAAAGTAGGGCCCTCTTGTCTGAAGCCATCTCTTCTGTCCACTTTGAAAGAAAGCAGAGCAGGTTTAGTCACACGGAGTAGACCTTAGACCACAGAATAGGCAGTGTCTCTTCCACACATAACTGGACCCCTCTGAGCCACCTGCCCCCTCGGGCAGTACTGCTCATGTCTTTGGCCATAAATGTTCCACCTAGATAAAATGAACACAACCCAATGGCAGAGCTGGTAAAAAGGGTCCCAACCCAAGAGGCCCTTCCTCCATGATGTGGGTGTATGTGTACAAATACAAACATCCAAAAGAATTGCTTTTCTCTTGTGCACAGGGAAAATGAACATCACTAAACAGGAATACCACTGGTATTCCTGCGGTTGTAGAAGTTTTAACTACTAATCAGAATCTACATTTTAACAAGGTCCCTAGGTGATTTTTATGTATACATAAGAATCACCTGAGTATAAGAATCTACATTTTAACAAGGTCCCCAGGTGATTCTTATGTATACATAAAAATCACCTAGGGATCTTGTTAAAATGTAGATTCTGATTCAGTATATCGAAATGCAAATTCTCAGCAGGGGGCTTAACCGGAATTAACTGGTTTTAATTTTGAGGATCACAGCAAACTAACCAAAAAAAATTTCTTTGGCCCCGTGGTCTGAGCAAAGCTACAGCCTGTCTTCCGTTGCCTGTGACCCCACCCCTGCTGGTGCTCCTTCAGAGTTTCTGACAGTCGCCACACAACTCAAGACAGCCTCTCTGCCTGAACCCAGCCAACCACACAGGCCCCTCATAGCTCAAAGACTTCAAAACAATGAACAGCTACATCCGCTTAGACTTGCCACTCTCCCGCTAATTGTGCAATGCCAGCAGGCTCAGAATCATTAGTAATTGTCATTGAAGCTGAGTATAATTAACCATATAATCTGAGCTGCAATGAGTAAGTCATGAAACTGGGGCATTGTGACGGATCACTGATAAATAAAAATAATAACAGCAATCATTTATTGAGCACTTACTAACATAAAGCCCTCTATCAAGTGTTTTGAGGAGCTCTCATGGTGTAGTGGTGAAGGCGTTTGCCTGTCACCTAAAAGATTGGTGGTTCAAAATCACTAGATGCTCTGCATAAGAGTCTGCTTCTGTAAAGATTTATAGCCTAGGAAAACCCAGTGGAAGTCACTATGAGTCAGAATCGACTCAATGGCAGTGAACTGTGTTGAATGTGCATTATCTCATTTAATCTTCAAAACAATCTTATAAAGTAGGTACTGTTATTTTACAGAGAAGGAAACTGAGGGTCAAAGAGATTAATTTTTCCAAGGCCACACAGCTAGTAAATGGCCAGGATTCTGATTCAAAGCCTGTGGGTCTTTTTCTTAACCTCTACACTATAATACTGAAAAACGGAAAATAGAAAAAATGAAATGTCCACATGCCCTTAATGTTTTATCAGTCATATCAATATACATTCCAAGTGCAGTCTTAATTATTAGTCACTTTACCAGTGAGAAATTCACATGACCCTACCTATAAGTGAATTGTTTATCACACCCCTTCTTCAATCCCACCCACCCTACTCCTGCGAACCCACTAATGCTCTGTACAACAGCTTTACTGGAATTTTAGGGTATAACACTTACCAAAGACATTTAAATTGGAAACATCAAAGAAGCCAAATGAATGAGATGCTAAAATAGGAAAAATCAGTTGCTGGTGAGTAGATTCTGACTCATGGAGACCTCATGTGTTTCAGAGTAGAACTGTGCTCCATAAGGTTTTCAGTGGCTGAGTTTTTTTGGAAGTAGATGACCAAGATCGCCAGACCTTTCTCCTTAGGTGCCTCTAGGTGGACTCCAATCAGCAACCTTTTAGTTAGCAGCTAAGCATGTTAACTGCATCACCCAAGGACTCCATCAGGCACATGTTGTTGCTGCTGGGTGCTATCGAGTCATTTTCGACTCATGGTGATTCCATGTTCACAGAGTAGAACTTCCCCGTGGTGTTTTCAAAGCTGTGACCTTTTGAAAGCAGATCACCAGGTCTTTCTTCCAAGGCTCTTCCAGATGGGTTTGAGCCACCATCTTAAGTGTTTGTGCCACCCAGGGACTCCAAAATAGGGAAAGGAGAATACTTCTGGATTGAGCCTGATTTTTAAGAACCTGAAGGCAAGTGGTGTGAAGTAACCCAGAACAGACCCTCCCCCTTGGGTGTAGAGCTTGGGGGTAGGAGAGCCACAGGAAGCAGGTCCAAGTGCTCCAGGCTCTGACAGGAGGAATATTTTGTTAGCATGCTAGGAAGTCCAATTAAAAGAAAAAAGTCTAATTGTTTTTTTCCCTTTCAAAGCCTCTGTAGTATAATAATTTGACGTTTATGTTATTTTGCTCTGTTATGCTTACCAAGCCTCTAAACAGGCAAAATCCAGTTGCCAGGAGGAGATATACCACCAACATTAAATCAAATGGTCTTCTCAGCAGATCCTTCGCTTGGGCTTCTTGAATGACCTACAATAGAGTTTGTAACTAAAGAGCACTCCCACAGTGCCAAAGAACACTCAAATCTACTGAAACATAAATGCCCTGATGATGGATGATGAAGAGAAATTTGAAGAGAAAAATTATTTCTCAGTTTCCTGATCTGTGAAAAGAAGAGATTGGGCCAGGTGATCTTAAAGGTTCCTACCAGTTCTCTGTTTCCATTTTTTTTTTTTTTTTCTTGAAATAATACTTTCATGATTATAAATGTAACATACATTCATTTCAGAAAATAAAAAGTAAACCATAAGCCTGCTACACCATTATTAATGGTATATTTTTCTGGTCTTTTATATATGTATATACACTTAGACCTATTTTTCACAAAATTAGGACTTCAAGTATATGCAATTTTGTATTTCTACTTTTTGCACTCAACATCTATTTAAATTATAAGCATTCTTCCATATTAAAAATTCTATAACTCAATATAAGTAACTGAATTAGTAGTTCATCATATGGAAATGTTGTTGTTGTTGTTACATGCCATCAAGTCAGACCCAACTCATAGTGATCCCTCCTTGGGTTTCTGAGGCAGTATCACTACGGAAGTAGATTGCCCCATCTTCCTTCTGAGGAGTGACTGGTGGGTTTGAACCACCAGGCTTCTGGTTAGCAGTCAAGTGCCTTTAGGCACTATACTACCAGAGCTCTCTCATATGGAAATACCATACTTTATTTATCTTTTCCTCCATTGTTGGGCATTTAGACATTTTTCATTGTTAGACTTAATGTGAAGGTGAAGTACTCTGGAAATAAATCCTTGACAGATCTCTCTGATGATTTTTTGGGGCTAGGGCTCTAGAAGTTAAAAGGTTAAATCTGGTAAGGTTGACAATAATGCCACATTGATTTGCAGAGTGATTCTGAATTAACATTCCTATCAGTAGTACAGGCAGTCCAAGGGTTACAATGATATCTGTTCCTGTCTTTAAGAATTTGTTGGAAACTTGGAACAGGTGCATATGGTTCTTCTTTAGCCTTACTTTAGTGCAAGAAAAGACTCGAAGCCTTTTCAATAATTTAAAAGCTGCGTGCTCAGCTCAGTATGTGATGAAGAATTGTTGCTAGTAGGGGTTGATGCAGTCGTTTCAAGGTGAGGGCAAAAATCACATAATAGTAAAAGGGCACATAAGGAGCTCTGGTGGTATAGTTGAAGGCATTGGGCTGCTACACAAAAGGTCAGTGGTTTGAACCCATCAGTTGCTCTGCAGAAGTCTGCGTCCATAAAGATTTACAGCTTTGGAAACACAAAGAAGGGTTGCTACGAGTTGGAATCAACTCGGTGGCAGTGAGTTTGAGTCTGGTCAGAAGGGGCAAGTAGGAGTTGTCTATAAGTAGGACTGACTTTCGTAACTCCGGAACTGCCTGTATATGACAATGCCAATTTCACCTGGCCATTACTTTCTTTTAGCATTTAAAAAGTAATAATGAACAGTTTCATGTAGCTTATGAAAAGGATGCCAGATTGACCCACTAACACAGAGGCTTCAAAAGCCATGGAGCCAGGATCAAAGCTATGGGTAAGTCCCAGGGTTATGAATTTTCGGTGTACAGGCAACTCATACTTGCCTTTTAATGTTATGTAAATTTGCCCTCATTGTGAAACGAATGAACACTTACTGGCAAAAAAAATTATCACAATCACCTTCACATGCTGCACATGCCGTTTTTAAATCAAGGAAAAGGCTTTGAGCCCTTTCTTGCACTAAACTAAAAAACAAACCCACTGCCATCAGTTCATTCCGATTGATAGTGACCCTACAGGACACAGTGTTGCTGACCAAGAGGGTTTACAAGGCTACAATCTTTACAGAAGCAGAGTGCCACATCTTCCTTCCATGGAGCAGCTGGTGGGTTCAAACCTGACTTTTCAGTTGGCAGCCGAGCACTTTAATCACTGCACCAGAAGGATGCCTTCTTGTACTAACCAAAACCAAACCAAACTCAATGCCAGGAAGTCGATTCCAACTCATAGTGACCCCCACTGGGTTTCCAAAGCAGTAAATCTTTACGGAAGTAGGATGCCCCATCTACCTTCCATGGAGTGATTGGTGGGTTTGAACTTCCAACCTTCTGGTTAGCAGTCAGATGCCTTAGGCACTCCTCAACCAGAGCTCCTTTCTTGCATTAAAGTAAGGCTAAATAAGAACTGTTTGCACCTGTTCTGACTCGCCTACAAACTAAAGTTACACACTTAGGAACAGATCTCATTTGTAACCCAGAGACTGCCTATATTTGCATTTTTTTTTTTTTTTTTTTAACAACCACTTCCCTCCGCAAAAGGATGGCAGAGGTGAATCCCTGCCATCTAGTTGATTCTGACTCATAGCGACCTCCACTGGGTTTTTGAGGCAGTAAATCTTTACAGAAGTAGATGGCTCCATTTTCCTTCCATGGAGTGGCTGGTGGGTTTGAACTGCCAACCTTCTAGTTAGCAGTCAAATGCCTTAGGCACTGCATTACCCCAGCTCCTTCAGAAGGATGGGAGGGAGTACCAATTATCCTTGTGCTAACCTGATTTTACATTGCAGGTTCTATATGTTTACAAATGAAGCATTTGTAAATTATAATGTATTTCAATGAATTCTATTATAAATCTTTTCATAAATGAGTAACCATGTCCTCCTTATCACCATGTGCCTGAATCTCTTGGTAATCAGACCCTTTGGCTCTGTGGGCTACCTTGAACAGTTATATCTCTCCAGCCTCTGATTAGTGCCTGGATCTCTTGGTAATCAGATCCTGTGGCTCTGTGGCCTACCTTAAACAGCTGTATCTCTCCAGCCTCCCCTCGGAACAGCAAATGCAAAGGTAGAAGGTATCGCTGAAAGAAGAGCCCAGGTGCCCAACATCCAGGCCATAAACAACCCCAGGCAAGCCACATACTCTGGCCTTCACTCAGCACACTAATGCAGAATCTGATGATAAAAGCCAATATAACCACTGGCACAGGAAGTTCCAAAAAGTGTGGCTGGACCAATAGAGGCAGATGTATTCAGATGGACATAGATCATCTTGGCCACTCCCACAAAGATGTGAACCAACGCTGCCTATGTCAACAGGCATATGGACTGAATGCCCCAGCGGCTCCACAGAGGCTAAAGTTCAATTCAGTGGCCAATGGATATGCATGAGCCCTGGGAATTTAAGCCCACATTACATTTAAACTTAATAAAATCACCTTTGAGGGATAATTATAATTTTCGGATGGCTGATTATAGATTCTGAAACCAGCCCAGACAGGAAGACAAGTATATGGTATGCTTAAGAAAAAAGCAGGGCAAATTCGTGTTCCATACTTCCCTATTTAAAAGAGAAAGAAAGAGAAAGTCAAAAGTTGACCAAATGCATATGTAAACATATCTAAAGTACCACTGGGGAACCTGCCCCATCTCAAGTCATGTGAAATTTTGCAATGGATCGAACAGTGTTCTTAATGATGAAAAAAAGGTGAAATTAAAACTTTTGGATATTTATTAACAGTCATGTCCCATCTAAAACCAAAATAGATAAACCTGTTGCCATCAAATCAATTCCAACTCGCAGTGACCGCATGCAACAGAACAGAACTGCTCCATAGGGTTTTCCTGGCTGTAATCCTCACAGAAGCAGATCACCAGGCCTTTCTTCCATGGTACTGCTGGGTGGGTTTGAACCACCAACCTTTAGATTAGTAGTGAAACACAAACCATTTGCACCACCCAGGGACCTATGTCCTATCTACAGTACAGGAAAAAAGTACATTTAATATCCTGATTTCCTGCATGCATAAATAACCTTTTAGTTTAGGCTTTAAGAGTCTTAATTTTCAAGTATGATAAATACGTTTTCATAGTGTATCAGGAGTTATATATTATACAAAGAGTTGTAAGAAGTATTATTTGTACACCAAGCACGTACATCCCAAACTGGACAGACTCCATACTTACCCCTCTAGATGTCAGATCCTTCTGAAAAAAGCCAGTGATTCCTTGGTATTATATTGTCTAATTGTTGAATGCACAGTTCTGAAAATTGCTCAAAAGCACTTTTTAAAAGGTGAGATTAAGAAGGAAGGGGAAAGAGAAAATTCTACAAAAACAGTTTTTGTAAGCTTACTTAGAGTCTCTTGATTCCATTACAACAAAAATAGCTCCTCTATTTAAAAACGATTTCCACTGTTACAAAAAAAAAAAAAAAAGAAAATTTTTGGATAAAGCTTCTTACCCACAACGTTTCCAGGCAGAAAAACAATAACGCTCATAATAATAGATCCGACCCAGTACAGGCCAATGGTTCTATAACTTTCCCTGTAATGACAAAAAGAAAAAAAAAAATCTTGACTTAGTGCTCCTGTCTTAGAATACTATTCGCGAAAAATGTTTCCCAATATTATTTTATATTCTAACTAGTAACGTTATGAACCAAAACTTAATGACTCCAAGGTTATACATCAAACAAACCTGCTGATGAAACTTCATTTCTATATGTGATAGACTGTAGAACTACTTTGTGTCCTTTTGAATAGGAAATTACAACACGCTCATCACCACCAAATAGATCCTACAATTCCTATTACATATTCAACTCGCCATGAAAGAAAACAAAAAGGTTCAAAGAAAGGGAATTAGATCCATATTTTAAATGTGAATAATAGGATGCTAGATGGATGTTCCCTGTTGTCACAGAATTTTGGCCAATGCCCCAAAGGTGAAGATAGTAAGTGACACATGCACCATGTTCTAAAGGAGCTGCTAGACATATACCCTAATCTTCTTAATAGGCTGTGTTGCCCAAAGTTCCTTCAATGAATAACCCCAATAACATACATACACACATACATACATATATACATACCAAAAAAACAAACTCATTGTCGTCGAGTCAGATCTGACTCAGAGCAACCCCTCCTTGGGGTTCTGAGGCAGTATCACTACAGAAGTAGATTGCCCAATCTTCCTTCCGAGGAGTAGCTGGTGGGTTTGAACCACCAGTCTTCTGATTAGTAGTCAAATGCCTTAGGCACTATGCCACCAGAGCTCCTACATATATACGTGTGTGTGTGTGTGTGTGTGTATACACATGCACACTGTAAGAGGCTATGAGAAATTCAAAGGGACATTCTCTGAGGGAAACACAGTAAAAAATTCTATGTGCCTCTTGCTATACCCCACACCACAGGCCAAATGGAGTGGACCTCAAGAGGCCCATTTACAGTGACAGATTATCAGCAGAAGGACAGACAAGAATCTTCCTCCCCAGCTGAGTGCTAACTGAGCTGTAGAAACTCTGTAGCCCGCTCCTTGCTGCCTCTACGCAGCAGAGCCCAACATTTCGTCCTAGAGCTTGGGAACATTTATGAAGAGAAAGGGTGATGCCTAGAAAAGTCCAAACAATAGCTGGAGCTTCCCTTAAGAGCATAGTGAGGAGAGAGGTGTTGACAGTTGGTCAAACTGCATTTTACCCTTATAAGGAACAAGAAAGGAGCCCTGGTGGTGGAGTGGTTAAAGCCCTAGCTGCTGTCTGCAAGGTTGGCAGTTCCAACCCACCAGCTGCTCCAAAGGAGAAAGAGGTGGCAATATGCTTCCATAAAGATTTACAGCCTTGGGAACCCTATGGAGTAGTTCTGTTCTGTGGTGTCGCTGTGAGTAATGAGTTTAGTTTTGGTGACGGGAACCCAACAGAAGGAAGCTGTGGGTGTACCACCATGTAAGTCCAGCCAGAAAGAACACTGCTAACTGCAGGGATTAGTGTAATCCAAAGGTCCCTGAGGTAGGGGTCTCCAAAGAGCCCACAGACAGAGCTAGCGTATCATGATAGAGGCTACCACTTGTCAAAAAACCAAAGCAACTGTTGCATAAAACTTTGTCCCTGTTCTTCTAATCCCAAATACATATGCATACTCCTAGGACAGCCAGCTGCAAAGTAAGTGCAGGAGTAAAACATGCACCAAGAATAAAAAGACCCTGACCTAAGCCTAAGTGCAGGCCCCCAAACCTCAGGATTAGGCCTGAACTGGGGGGAAGAGAGACCCTTTGAACTGAAACAAAATTTTACTTTTAACTTAGAATGTGCTGAGCTTTTTAATTTCTGAAAGTGAGACTGTTCTTATAAAAAAAAAAAAAAGATAAAACAAGTTGCCATCGAGTCATTTCTGACTCAGCGGTGACCCCATGTGTGCAGAGTAGAACTGGGCTCCTTAAGGTTTCAAGGCTGTGACCTTTTGGAAGCAGATCTCCAGGCCTTTCTTCTGAGGCATCTCTATGTGGATCTGAACCACCAACCTCTCAATGAGTAGTTGAGCACTTAACTATTGCCACCCAGGGACACCTACTTTTCTTATAACAAAGCATAATCAGAAAGCCAAGGGGTCTATGTGAGCTGTCATCATGGTGGGACAGTAAGCCAAAGGAACATGTTCAAAAGGCAGTGGTGCAAGGAATATAAAGCACTTCTAGCTTGCACCCATCAAATGTATATTCACATATTGTGTATATAACTGTGTATTTGCCTCTATACATGCACTTTCCTTACATACTCACTTATCAGTTGCCAGGGCAGCAAGGCACACACACCAAGTAAACTGACTTACTCCCATGCTATGGCTGCCACCATCACCAGGTACATCAGGTAGTGAGCAGACCCATCCCAGTAGCAGATCATGTGCCCATATGCAGTGTTCAGATACGGCTCAGCCTACAGAAAGCATGAAGAATTAAGTCCACTTTAAATATGACTTACACATTTAAATGCACACCAGGTCTGTATTGCAAGTGAAAGAACAGCACAGCTTACTTGTGTTAGCTGCCTAAGACGAAACTCTTCCTAATCATATAAAATTTCAAAATTGGTAGGAATGTGAAAATAGGACTTTCCCTTGCAGCCACCAAAACCAGGGTCAGCCACAAGGTAGCTCATGAGAAAGTCAGGTGGTAATGCCTGCCGGATGGGCCTGCGCTGGATCACAGGTTTGTACCATGACAGAAAGCAGATGGTACTGCAGGCAGTCCTAGCTGCACAACAAACTTGCTGAGGCCAAGGCAATGCCATGACTAAAGAGTAGCTTGGTCATGGACAAAGGGGGAGGCAGGGAAGACCATGACCCCAGAGCCAGGGGCCAACAGCACTGTAATCATTCACATTGATTCCATGGCTGGCTGGCTGGGCCAGGCATGAGACAGGCACTTATTCCCCAGGTGTATTTCCACAGACAGGTCATACTGAACTCAGAGCTTCACACCCAGCCCTTCTTCCATTCTTCCTACCAACCCTATGGGATGCACATGATTAACTCCATTTTGCAGATGAGGAAACAGAAGCTCCAAGAGATTTCGGGACTTGCTCAAGTTTACATATCCAGCAGCGCCTTTACTACAAAGAAGAGCCACACTTCTCCTGAGAAATTTTAAATTCTATGAACACGAAATTATATGATGAACTACATCTCCCTTTTCCCAATGGCTCCAGAAAGTCACTTCAAGTGTGTGGTCCTCAGCAGGTGTGCAGGTCACCACAGCAGGTGTTGGCAGTACCATTCTGCTTCCGCCTTGTTCTCCCACTTCCAGGCTCTTCTGCTTGTTTCACACATCTCTATAAGCTGCCTTAACTCCTTTCTCCAACACGGAAGATCGAGGATCAACTCGTCTTATCAATCAACTAGCCCTGTGGGTGATTCTCTGAACCTTTATGCTCCCCTGAGGCAAGGACTAAAAAAAAAAAAAAAAACACTGCCATTGAGTCGAACCCGACTCATAGCGACCCCTCCTTGGGTTTCCAAGGTGGTATCTCTATAGAAGTAGATTGCCCAACCTTCCTTCTGAGGAGTGGCTGGTGGATTTGAACCACCAGCCTTCTGGTTAGCAGTCAGATGCCTTAGGCACTATGCCACCAGGGCAAGGACTACTCTGTAATTAATCAGAACAAATTGCAAGTATACAGGATGAGAAAACAATGCACAAGTAGTGCCTCTGTGCCATGCCCAGCCCACATCTTTTCTCACTGACTTGCTCTGACTGGTTGTTGTTGGTGGTGTTAGTTGCCATCGAGTCGACTCCAACTAATAGTGACCCTATAGGACAGAGTATAGGACAGAGTAGAACTGCCCCATGGGGTTTCCAAGGCTGTAATCTTTATGGAAGCAGACTACCACATCTTTCTCCCATGAAGCAGCTAGTGGGTTCAAACCACTGACATTTTGGTTGGCAGCTGAGCACTTAACCACTGTGCCACCAAGGATCCTTACTCTGACTGGTAATACTATCCAAAATTCCATGGCTTTCCTCATTCAGGCTTACACAACTGGCTCCAGAACCCTCGCTTCAGCCTCAGACTCTCCTGGTGGTTTGCTGGATGGCCCATGGACCAGCCTTTCCAGGTCACCTCAACTCCTCTAAATTCATCAGTTTCTCCCCTCAACCAACCCTTCCACTTGGGTTTTTTTCTATCAATGGCAACACCACTCAACTTACCCAGGCTCCAAACCACAGGGTCATTTTTTATTCCTCATCTCTATAATGTCACCAGGCCATCCTCCCTCTTCATACCCCTATCACAGATCTAGTTCAAGCCCTCAGTGCCCACACTAGACCACTGCTATTCTAAACTGGTTCCCTACCTCTACACTCTCTTTCTAGTCCATCACACTCTGGCTGCCTGATGAATATTCATAAGCTCATAGAGAGGCTCATGGCCCTTCCCTCTTCAGCTCTGAAACCTCCCAAAGCTTGTGGTTGCCTGCAGGCTCAAGCCCTATCTTCTAGATCTGGCAGCCAGGTCCCAGAGCCTGGCCCTGCAGACTTCTCCACAGTTACACCCTTGCTCTCCTTCTCTCACCCTTTCTGCCCCATCCTGGCCTCTCTTAGCAGCTAGATCTCCATTCTTCTCAGCAGTTTCACATCCTCATCTTGGAGCCCTGCCTCCCTCTGCCTTCAGTGGCCCAATGCTCTATGGGTTTTCCTTTTGCCTCTTTGCCTGCTCCCTTATAGTCTACTTCAGGGGCTTGTCTTCTGGCAGCCACAGTCTCCAAAGCTTCAACATAGCCCTCCTCCCTCTCCATACTCTTCTTGAGCAAGCTTTTCCCCTCTCAGGCCTTTAGGTACCAACTATGCTCAGATGCCTCCCAAGTCTCTCTGCCAGGAATAATCCTCAAAGCCTAAGACCCAAAAAGCCCTGCCAACTGGGACATCTGCCAGGATGTCCCTCAAGTACCTGTAACCTAAATGTCCTTGAAATACATGCTATTTCTCATCCTAAGCCTTTGCCCAAGCTATTCCTTCTCCTTGGAATGTCCTTTGACTTCCTGATCGATCTAAAAAATGTTTGTCATCTATGGCCATTGCCATTTGGAAAAAAAAAAAAAGCTATGTCAGTGTCACCACCTCAATGAGGCCCACCTCCACTACCCCCAGAGGTAATCGGGCTGCCCCTCCCCTTCCTCCATGGACTTCTGCACCCACAGGAGTCACCATGCCTGTACCTAGGATAGTGCTATCTTCTTGCTGCATCAGGCAATGAGCTCCTGGGGTCAAGAAGCAGGTCATAGGATACCAGAGTCTAATTCAACCAACTATGTGGAACCGAAGCTTCCTCTCCTCCCTTTCTGATGGTATCATGCCAGCATTCTTCCAGATTCCAAACTCCAAAGCAGGAATCAGGAAGTCATCTTGGACTATATACCCTCCTGTTACTCCCAACCTGTCCCTAAGTCCTGCTCATTCAAGTCACTCAAATTCTCTAAAATCCATCCCTCCTCTCCATCTCCTGTGCACCACCCTAGTTCAGGGCCTCTTCATGTCCTTCCTAGCCACGTGGAAGCCTCCTGACCCATGTCCCAGCTCATGACACTGACACTTCCCTTCAAACCATTCTTTCCAGAGCTGATGTACTGTTCTGATTTTAAATCTTCCCTCACATATGGGATAAAACTCAAACTCCCTTAGCTTCATACAAAGCTCCCTGTTATTTCAAACATGGATAAAGATGTACTTCCAGTTCTGCTGCTGCTTCCCTGTGTGACCTTCAGAAAGTCACTAACCAATCTGGGGTTGGATTTTCCCCTCATAAAATAAAAAAATAGGGCTAGTTCTCTCAAATGCCATGCAGTTTATAGTGCTATGATCTGTCATAGGGGTGGAGGTGGTTAATCATCACAATCAAAGGGCTTCATTAAATGCCTTGTTGCTTGGTATTTAAATTTAAGACTAATTTAGACTTCCTGAGATAGTATCGTATTCATTGTGTTGTTACTTGCCATCATGTCAGTTCCTACTCCTGGTGACCCCATGTGTGCAAAGTAGAATTGCTCCACAGGGTTTTCCAGTCTGACCTTTCAGAAGCAGATCACCAGACATGTCTTCCAAAGTACCTCTGGGTGGGTTTGAACCACCAACTTCCGCTAGTAGTAGTCAAGTGCCACCCAGGGGCTCCTCATATTCATAATGTTGTTAGTTGCTATGGAGTTGATTGCAACATATTCATAGTAGACAAATAGAAAGACTAAAGTCATTTGAAGTACCTCATTTATATTAATTGCAAGTAAAGGGGAAAGGTAGGTTATCTAATGATGAGTGGGAAGAAGGAGTCCTAAGAGTTGAAGATGAAGAGAACTTCCCCCATGATCTAATCCCAGTTTTCTGCTTCATTTTCCATGTGAACAAACAGCCCTATTGCAATAAATAAGATTCTTGTAGCATGCTGACTTATGCTAAATTAGAGCACTTTTATCTCTGAGCAAAGTGGTTTGGGCTCCTGGCCCTTTGGTTTAAGGGTCTTAATCACTAAGCAATCCCGTACCTCTCTCAGGTAGTGCATCATGAAGCCATCAATGATTCCATCCTGTTCCAGGCCTATGATGAGGTTCACCACACTGGTAAATCCAAAGACAGCATAAACTAGAGAAAAGAAACCAGCAGTTTAAGAAGCAGTAGCTCAGTAGACAATTACAAAAAGCTTGGCATTAGCAAATAATGTTATTGTTGTCAGCTGACAGTGAGTTGGCTCCAACTCATAGCAACACTGTGTACAACAGAAAGAAACGCTACCCGGTCCTGCACCATCCTCATAATCCTTGCTATGCTTGAGCCCATTATTGCAGCCACTGTGTCAATCCATCTCATGGAGAGTCTTCCCTTCTTTGCTGACACTCTACCAAGCGTGATATCCTTCTCCAGGGACTGGTCCCTTCTGATAACATGACCAAAGTAGATGAGACGAAGTCTGGCCAGTGTTGCTTCCAAGGAGCATTGCAGCTGCACTTCTTCCAGGACAGATTTATTTGTTCTTCTGGCAATCCATGCTACTTTCAGTATTCTTCACTAACACCAGAATTCAAAGGCATCAAATCTTCTTCTTATTCATTGTCCGGCTTTCACAAGCATATGAGGCAACTGAAAATACAATGGCTTGGGTCAGACACATCTTAGTCTTCACAGTGACATCTTTGCTTCTTAACGCTTTAAAGTGCTCTCTTGCAGCAGATTTTTCCAGTGCAATATTTTGTCTAATTTCCTGACCACTGTTTCCATGGGTGTTGACTGAGGATCCAAGTAAACATGAAATCCCTGACAACTTCAATCTCTTCTCCATTTACCATGATGTTGCTTATTGGTCCAGTTGTAAGGATGTTTTCGTTATGTTGAAGTGTAATCCATATTGAAATAAGTAGTGGACTGCTTTGAATGTTTTCCAGAATATCATCTCTCGCACATCCAACCAATACTCTGCCTGTGTTCATGAATCTTTCCACTACCACCCAAGTGCTCACACCTAGGGAACGCCTATCACTGGGGAAGAGAATGACAAAGTCATACTCTGGCTCTGTCCCTGAGGATACTACCAGGACACATGGAATCTCCATGAGTCAGAGTTGACTCAATGGTCCCTACCCTCCACGCCCTCACAAGTGGCTGCCCAGGATCAAACTTGCCTCCACCTGGGCCAGCAGGCACAAAAACAGAACTGAGGGGCCCAGGAAGTATAGAGGTGACCACCAAGTTTAAAATAATGACTTAAGCCAGTTGCCATTGAGTTGACTTTGACTTCATGTATGTCAGACTAGAACTGTGCCTCACTGGGTTTTCAATGGCTGATTGTTCATACTGCCAGGCTTTCTTCCAAGATGCCTCAGGTGGAATAAAACCTCCAAACTTTTGATTAGCAGCTGACCACACTGACCATCTACATCCCTCAAGGCCTCCTAAAATAGCAACTTAGATGAGGTAATTCACTCACCCATTACTAAGCAGGCCAACTGCAGTTTGTCCAATAATGTATGCTCTATTCCATACTAAAGATCCTATAGATAATTAGCTGATGCATAAGTCACAATGGCTCGAAGGCCAATGATTTAAAAAAAAAAAATTAATACAAGATGGTGCAACTGAGTAGAAGAAATCAAAGCAGTAGCATCTTATACAATGTTACTAGGGTTGTGAGAATCTCTTAAACAGGCTTAAACCCGCTACCAACAAATGGCTAAAAGAATAATACTTTTAAACAGTGGATGATCAAATTCATCAAGATAGCTGCATTTTCAAGTCATCAGAAATTAGTGCTTAGACTATATGATGGACATGGACAGTAGAAAAATGTGATGGTAAATATAAGAAAAGCTGTAGGGAAATAAATTAGAGAAGCATGGGGAAGGTTAGGGAGCTCTGATGGCATAGTGCCTAAGGCATCTGACTGCTAACCACAAGGCTGGTGGTTCAAACCCATGAGCCACTCCTCGGAAGGACACTTGGGCAATCTATTTCCGTAGTGATACCGCCTCGGAAACCCAAGTCGGATCCAACTCAAAGGCAGTGAGTTTAGTTTTTTTGTTTTTTAATAGCCAGGAGTTCAGTAGCGGAGTCAGTAGCCAGGAGTTCAGAGTTTACATTTTCCGCAGCCTGAGAGAAAGCCCAAGTGTGCCTTGCCTTACAGACCCTACCTTCCCTGCACCTTCACAGAGGCATCTGACCCAGTTCTTTTTGACAGGGTCACTTTCTGACACTCATTTTTCAGAATCCTTCAGGTGAATGGCTATGGTATGTCTCCCAAGAAAGGAAGTATTCAGCACACAATCACCGGATTGTTCTACTGACAATTCCTAATGCAGACACACATATGAGACCCCCCTATTAGAAATGAGAAGAACACAGTCAGTCTCTCTGCTCTCTAGTGGATGAGGAGTCTAGCCTGGGGCCTCATCTTGAGGCTGCAGACACAAATACTAAATTCATTTAAAGTACCTCGTTTATATGAAGTGTAATAAGCTGGAACAGAGACAGGGACAGAGGGCTGAGAGTGCAAGAGAAGGGATGCCCAGGCTTAGAGGAGTCAGGACAGACATCGGAATACACGTAGGTGTGGGCTCCAAGGAATGGAGAGTCTCTGGGTGACTCAAATGATTAATGCGCCTGTTTGCTCACTGAAAGGTTGGTAGTTCAAGTCCTCCCAGAGGCACCATAGAACAAAGCCCTGATGATTTAATTCTGAAAAATCAGCCGTTGAAAACTCCGTGGAACACAGTTATAGTCTGACACACATGGCATCACCATGAAGCAGAGTCAACTTGATGGCAACTGGTGGTGGCCATGGAGTGGAGATGAAGAGGAGTGGATAGATAGCAGCAGGAGACTTGTCTGGAAAGGTAGGTGGGGTCAGATCAAAGATAAGTAGAGTGGCAGAGGAGAAAGGGTATGGTCTTTGAAGCCAGACTGACTCGCTGTGCAAACTTTGGCAAGTTACATAATTTCTCTAAGCTTCAGAGTTTTTTATGTGTGAGTTAAGGGAAGTTATTTGTATACCCGTTGCTGTTGAGTTGATTCCAACTTATGACAACCCCCTGTGTGTCAGAGTAGAACTGCTCCCTTGGGTGCTCATAGCTGTCACTTTTTGGAAGTAGATCACCAAGCCTTCCTTCTGAGGATCCTCTCAGTAGGTTTGAACCACCAAGCTTTTAATTAGGAGCTGAGTGCAAGCTGTTTACACCACCCAGGGACCTCGTTGTTAGCTGGCTCAATTAGATTTCAACTCATGGCAACCATTACTCACAATTCTTTCCCTCCCCAACTTTGCCAAGTTCCCCTGTGGACAGAGAATACTTCCTGAGCCACTGATGATGGGCTTCACCACATGACTTGCTTTGGACAATGGAATGTGGGTGGAGTGCCAGGGGGCCAATGCCAAGCCTTAAGAGGCATCACTTTTCTTCTGCTAGTCTCTCTTGTGCTTTTGTATCTTCCATGAGAAGGGCATGTTCTGGGGAGCTGCTGACCCAAGAATAAGAAGAAACATGGAACAGACCAGAATCGGATCCACAGCCTGAAACAAAGAGCCTCCAGCCAGCCTACAGGTCCATGCTGTTGTAGGGCACTGAGATTTAGAAGTTGTTTGTTACTCAGCATTATCGAAGCAGAAGCAAATAAAATACACAGCAAAGCGCCCAGCACAGGGAGTGCTCAAAGACTCATAAAAGCTTTTCTCGAGTCAGCATGGCATAATGGAAAGAGCATAGGTTCTGGGGATCAAACAATACCATGCTTGGTAGCCGTGGGACCCTGACAATGTTACTGAGCATCTCTGAGCCTGCGTTTTCATCTGTAAACCAAAAAAACAGTTACGATCAAATTGATCCCAATTCTCCCTCCTCATCCAGAGCCAAGAAGAATGAAGAAAACTAAAAATTCATGGAAACAATTAGTCCTAGCAACTGGTACTTCATCCGATCTGCAGCCTGTACGACTATGAGACTAGAAGAAATAGATGGTGCTCAGCTACTACTGTCAACCACTTGGAAGAGGATCTTTGTAGGAGATCCTGGATAGACAGGGAGAACAATGTGGAACAAAACTCAAAACATTTTGAGGGAAAAAAAAAAGCAGGGAACAGGTTTGCTGGCCCTAGGGAGCCTGGTGGAACCACTGAGACTATGGCCCCCAGCTGCCCTTCAGGTCTGGAATTGAATGCACACCTGTGGCTTCCAGGCAGACAATAGACAGGCATATCAGTTGAGCATTTACCTGAGGTAGATACACTCCTTGGAGAGAATAAGCATGAGAGAAAGAAGGGCTGCTCAGGCACAGGGAGACAGCTCAGTGCATGGAGAGATGGACACAAGGAAGAAGTAACTATTGGGAGGAAGTGGGAGGGGAGATGTTGCATTGTGCTAAATTGTAGTCAATGTCATGAGACAAAGTGTATGTAAACTGCTATATGGAAAGTGTATTTGCTATGTAAATTTTCACCCAAATCACAATAAAAAAAAAAAAATTGATCCCACTTCATGGTGACCCCATGTGTGTCAGAAGAATGTGCTCCACAGGGTTTTCAATGGCTGGTTTTTCAGAAGTAGATTACCAGCCTTTCTTCCAAGGCACCTGTGGGTGGACTCAAACCTCCAACCTTTTGGTTAACAGCCAAACATATTAACCATTTGCACCACCAGGGACTCCTCTTCACCTCTAAATGGAGGGACATTGTTGTGATAATTAAATAAAATAATACTTCTAAGTTGCTTAGAGCCATACCAGGTACAGTGTGAATATTCAATCACTGGTGTGTTTATTTATTTAATAAACATGTCTATTTGCCAGGCACTGCTCTAAGTACTTTACAAATATTATCTTATTTAATCCTTGTACCAACTCTCTGGGGTAGGTAGTAACAGTTTCTCATTTTACAAATTTCCTCATTCTTGAGGTCCTATGCAGGAAAGTGACATGCCAGGTCAAGGGGCTGTAAGTAGCAAGGCTGACGACTGGAAGCCCAGGAAGAAGCTGGTACAGAGTTGAGGTCAAAGGTCAGAACACACTGGGGGCGAGGAATGGAAGGATGTCCTGTCGGGTCTTGAAGGTAATCCTCTGCTAGGATCCCATATGGGAGAGAGTGAGATCCATAGCCTGAGAGACAAGGGGCACTCTGTCCTGAAAGACCTCTATATTTCTAGCCACTTTACCGGTGGGGTCAGGGTATTTACCCCCATGGAGGAAAACATGATGGAGACCAAAGTGTTGGGCTGCTAACTGGGCACAAACAGGCTCCCTCCCGCATGTACATACCATAGAACAGTGGGTCCCGGGGTGGTTTTCTTTTGACAAGGACACGAGCCAGCAGGGCCACTAGGAGCAGGATGAAGGCAGCAACCCCTACAATGGTCCAGGAACTGCAACAACCAGAACAGGGAGGTGGTTACTTATCAAAACAAACATGTTGGTGCCTGGAATTTCCTGACTATTGAACGCATTCACTTTGAACCTTGCCTCTACCTCATCCTGTGGCTCAGGCACTGTAGTTAGTGACGTTTATCACTAGCACTTGTCAGAGAGTCTGCGATTTTCAGGGACTAGAGCCACCAGAGCCTCATTCTCCTCTTCTCCTGAAAACCTGTCTCACATGCGCATATATGTCTGGAGCACCCTCTGCTCCACCCACCCCTGAGATGGCCCCTGTTCCCTGCCCCCCCCCACCTTACCCAGCCCTCCAACCTCTGCCCCATCTTCAGGGCTCCCAGGCAGCTGACAGGTCTAGCCATTGAATTTGTTACCTCCCTCAGAAACAGCTGGAAACCCCTGGACTGAGCGCCAGGGAAAATACAAGAGGTACAATTACACACACCTTCCAGGGGGACAGGAAGAGGGGATCATAGTCATGTGTATAATCAAATGGGCCAGAGGATGAGGCCAGGAAACCCAAGGAGGGGAGGAGTTGTGGCTAAGAACACCTCATCCCCAGGGTCAGCATCCAACCCCAAATCTGGGCATCCAAGGCAAGGCTGGTCACGCACAGTCCTGGACCTTCTGGGAAAGGGAGGGGTACTGAGGAGGTCAGGGGCCAGGGCCACCACCTCAGCAGGGCAGCACCAAGGCACAAGGGAGAGTTAGTAGAAATTGGTCCAGCAGTCAAGAGACTTATGTCCTAGCATTCCATCCATCACTGAGTAGTTGTATGACCTTAGGAAAGTCACATCATTTCATTCATCTGTTTATCAATTGGAAAAACATACTGAGAAAAAATTTATTGCACACCTCTATGTGCCAGGCAGAAGCCCTTGTGGCACAGTGATTAAAGCACTTGGCTGCTAACTAAAAGGTTGGCAGTTCAACAACCCACAAGCTGCTCCAAGGGAGAAAGATGCGGTAGGCTGCTTCTGTACAGATTTACAGCCTTGGAAACCCTATGACACAGTTCTTCTTTGTCATACAGGGTTGGTATGAGTCAGAATCAACTCGATGACAGTGGGTTTTTGGTTGGATGTGCCAGGTGCTGTTCCAGGCACTGGGAATACAGAATGAACAAGATAGGTCTCTATTTCCATGAAGGGACTATCTCAGTGGTCTCCAATCTCTGCCAACCAGTAAGTCACCTTTAATCTTAGAGAGATACTTTCCCTCTCAAACCTCCAGCACCGACAGGGTTCCTAAACAAACAAACCAACCAAACCCACTGTCATCGAGTTGATTCTGCCTCACAGCAACCCTACAGGACCAAGTAGAACATCCCCCATAGGGTTTCCAAGGCTGTAAATCTTTACAGAAACAGACTGTCTCATCTTTCTCCCACAGAGAAGCTGGGAGGGTTCAAACTGCTGACCTTTTGGTTAGCAGCTGAAAGCTTTGATCACTTTGCCACTGAAGTTCCATAGGGCTTACAGTTCTAGGCAAAGCCACACATGGTCCACACCAGTGGCCTGTTACACCAGAGCCTCCTCAACAACCCCTTAGAACTGCCATGAGCACCTCTCCTCAGCTGAGACACCTCTACACATCCCAACACAAAAGCCTTTGGATAACTCTCACCAAATATGGCCCCCAGTGTCCCTAGGTCTTCTGGAAAGCACCCTTCTCAGTTACAGCTCCCATAACCCACCAGCACCCACCAATGGCTTAGGAATAAACTTCACTCCACATACCTGCAGTTGGAATGGGGGTGATGCACCAGTCCGAAAGCTGCCCCCAAAGGGGTCATATGGGGGCAATGGTCAGTCCACTGTTGGTGGACAAGACCCCAAGGAGACTGGCCAGAATCCCAGGACAGTTGTATTCTCATCATCTTGCCCTGCATCCCACATAGAATCAGGGATAGGGGCTTTTGGGCATTAGCAGCCAGATTTCCAGATGCCTCTCCAGACCTACAAAATCAGAATACCTCAGGGGTAGGGCCTGAGAATGTCCAACTCTTCTCAAGATACCAGGATGACTATGAGACAGGTAGTTGGCCTGGGGACCTATGAGAAAGTGTACAAGAATTGATAGATGAGGGATGGGGAGATGAAGATGGATGGATGATGGGTAGACTATGGATGGATGGATGAGGGAAAGATGGATGGATGACACAGTTCTATAAAAATGAGGATGATCATGCCAATGTCCAAGTAAGAAAATGAAATAGGAGGTTTCTGGTTGTGCACAAAAGTGGATGCTCCAGCTTCTCTTGTGAGGTTGAATGGAATGAGGACAGGAAGGAGGAGGAAGCCTATGTGGGTCAAGAACAAGATGCTGGATCAGAGTACCAGTAAGATGTGCTGTGTAGCTGACAGGTATTTTAATGAAGGACACCCTGAGACAACTGGTGGCCAGGAGGTACCCCCCATTCCTGCTCCTGCCAAGGACCTGAGCTCACAGCCAGCACAATCATGCCGAGTAGGAGAGAGCAGCATAAACTGGTTCACAGGCGTCTCCTCATACTCTCCACCTCCAGGGGAGAAAGGGAGAAGAAACAGAAACTGAAGCGCAGATAATCTCTGCCTCCTTGATGCTGTCTCCAGAGATCCTCCATGACAACCAAGGGCAGGACCTGCCCAAAACAAGGAGAAATGTGTCCAGCAGGGACTCAAGGGGGACAACTAACAGCTACAACCAACCCAAGGGTTAGTCTTTGGAGGAGGGTTTACTGATACCCTTCCACTAATAGATACTTACTAAGAGGGGAGTTCTGGTAGCATAGTGCCTAAGGCATCTGACTGCTAACCAGAAGCCTGGCAGTTCAAACCCACTAGGCACTCCTTGGAAGGAAGGTTGGACAATCTACTTTCGTAGTGCTACTGCCTCAGAAACCCAAGGAGGGGTCGCTATGAGTTGGGTTGGACTTGAAGGCACGTAACAGCACTAAGAGGGGACATGTATGGGTGAGTACGAGCAGTACGTGTGTGTGTATGTGTGTGTGTGTGTGAGAGAGAGAGAGAGAGAGGGAGAGAGAGACACAGAGACACAGAGAGAGATACCTGAACCTTTTCCAGGCGTCTCAATCTAATTTGCGCTCTCTCTCTCTCTCTTTCTCTTTCTTTTTTTAAATTTGTTTCCAGGCTTTCATAAAGGTCTGCTGGGAAGGAAGCTCAATTCAACAAATCCAAACATAATTGTACGTCTGCTATGTACAAGACGCTGTGCTGAGCAGAACAGGCTATGGTGAGCTCTAACCTGGGCAGGTGAGTTCTCAAAAGCCTGACCACAGGAAAGTGCCTGTCACTGGAAGAGTGCAATCAAGGAGGCTCAGAAGAGGAAGAGTTCACATCTGCCCAGAGAAAGGGTCTGGAGAGGAAGAAGTGGTCTTTTACTCTGGGCCATAAAGTCCAGGTGTGGCTTCAATGGTCAGCAATAGGGAAGAGAGCCTCTCAGTCAGAGGGAACAAGTGAACAAGGCCCGGAGGGAGGTTTTTATGAGGAGTGTCCAAGGGCAAAGACAATTGTGGGGTGGCAGAAACAATAGTCTGGCAGGCTGGGGCTAGGGGCTGAGGCTGAGGCTGACAAAGGTGTAGTAGCCCACACAGGAGCCTTGGCCATGCTCCAGGTCAGAGGGGGCAGTGCCTGAGGGAACTGAAAGGAGGGAAGAGAAGTAAAACCAGCCCCAGATCCTATGGGGGAAGGGGACAGTGGGAGGAAGGGGATGAAGAAGGACAGGGAGGAGTCAAGGGCCATGGGATTTTTAACCTGCCAGAGGAGGGAAGAATGGCTAGAACCAATTCAATTCTTCCAATCACTGTAGCATTTTGCAAAGTGTTCAGTAATACACACACACACACACACACACAAACCCATTGCCATCAAGTTAATTTCAACTCACAGCAATCCTACAGTACAAGAGAACTGCCTCACAGTGTTCACAAGGCTATAATCTTTACGGAAGCAGAATGCCATATCTTTCTCCCTCAGAGCAGCTGGTGGGTCCGAACCACTGACCTTTTGGTTAGCAGCTCAGCTCTTAACCACTGTGCCACCAGCAATACATAATTCAATCTGTGTTCAGTAAATGCCATCACCACCTTCCCAGTGGCTGAGCCCAAAATCTAGGATCATCCCCAAATCCTCTCTTTACTGCAGTGCAATCCTTCCGCAAGCCCATCTGCTCTTCCTCCAAAATATCCCGACACCCACCCATTCCTTCCCTATGCACTGCTCCTTGTTCTTCTGCCTGGAAGACTCTGTCCCCAACTCCTCTGGTGGGTGCCTCCTACAGTTCAAGTACTACCTAAAAATCCTTCCCTGACTACCACCACTCTCTCATGTCACCCTATTTTAGTTTCTAGAGCATGTCATATCTATTGATGTAATTGTTGATGTTTGTCTCTACATTCGCCTCCCCAACTTTTTCTGGCTTGTTCAAAGCTATGTCCCCAACACCTGGAACAGTGTCAAGCACACAGCAGGTACTCAATAAATATTGGTCGAACTTCCCATAAATTCCATTTTAGGAGTGCAGGGTCTCCATGCACTATATTCACAGACATGTGATATATGGCTGCCCAGGAAGCTGCTTCGAGGAGATGTGAGCCTAGACTGAGCCAGATCAAGGGCAGACCCTGGCCCTCCTAGTGAGCCCTCAGTGTGGGCCTTTGTCTGGATACAGCCAACAGCAAGTAATGGCCACAGCAGGGAGAGAAGAGGAAATCACCACCCGAGAGCAAGACACTTCACAGACTTAAAGGTCTGGAAGGGGTTTGTAGGCTACAGACTGATGTAATTTCCTTAGTCCAACTGCTGTGGGAACTGTAACAGGTTACTTCCTCCTCCCCCCAGACAGCAACCAACAGCAAGCACAGCTTTTCCTGCCTTTGCAGGATTGCTGCTGTCTGGTGCAAGGTTGGTTAGTCCATGGTTGCCCACAGAAGAGTGCGACATAGGCCTTTGAACCTAACCCATCAGCTGCCCTGTTCAGCCCCATCCACTTCCTTAGCATTGAAACTGCCCCCTCTCCTCCCAGCTCCTCATCCTACCCCAAGACAGGCAATTGGAAGCACTTCTGCATTTACAAACATATCTCACTGGGTCCTTACAATGTGATCCAAACATAGACCATTTGACAGACCAAAACTTGAAGTCAGGTCATACATGTTAGTGCCAAAGCCAGGCCTAGAACGCAAGTCTTCTGCCTGATGGTTCAGGGCTATTTCTTAAAGTCATTCACCACTGTTTCTAGAATTAATAAATGATAAGTACGTGCATGTCCATACATGGAAACGTTCCTGTGTAACGCAGAACGAAACGAACAAGGCACAACCCAAGACAACATGGCCAAGCTTGGCAGTTTTCCGGGTTTGTACCGCCCTCCCCCCCACACACACACCGTTCCATGGGTTCCTGAAGGGCAGGGGAATTGCCTTATTGACCTCTGTAACCCCCCGGCGCTGGCACGGAGCAGGCGTCCAGCACTTGCACCTGAATTAAGCCCAATGTCAGAGATGCCAGCCTGAGCAAAGACCCCTGCCCGTGCGACTCCCGGCACCCTCAGAAGCTCGGGCGAACTGCTGCCCTGCAGCTTGCGGTTCCAAGCCCGACTGAAAAGTTGCTGAGGCTTCAGCTGCGCGGCCCCAGCCGGGTTCCGACCCCCGCCACGCCCGCTCACTCACTCGTGCTGGGCCGCCAGATGGTTGAAGACATAGGTGACTGGGATGGCCGAGAGTGATAGCACGAAGACCCCGGTGGCCGCAGAGGCACTCATCGCCGCCGCCGTTTACCCTTCACAGCATCCCCCCCGGGCGCCTCGCCCCAGCTTCCAGCGGTGCCCGCGCCCCCTCGGCGGTGCCCTTCGAGGCGCCCCCGGGCCGCATGCCCCGCCCCGTGAGCCCCGCCCCCAGCGCCGCGCCCTCAGCAGCGTCCTCTCTGGGCACCCGCTGGCTCCGCAGCTGCCCCTTGCGCCAGAAGAGAGCCTCCGCCGGCGCTCAGGGCCGCGGTGCAGTACCCGTAGGCGCCCTCGCGGCGACAGCTCCGGCTCGGGGACAGGTGCCCCTGTGAGCCCAGCTCTGGGGGAAGGCAGTGGCGGTCGCGGCGGTCGCGGGTCGCGGGCTCTGAGCACAGCCGGGAGCTTGTCATCGACGACCTGAAAAGGCGCTGGACTGAGCTGCGGGCCAGCAAAGGGTGGAGCCAGACCCGGAGGTGTCCAAGCGCGAAGGGCCCGCGAGATCATCCATGCGGGAAATCTGCAGCCCCGAGACGGAAAGGAAGGACAAACGCTCCTCAAACCGTGAAACCTCTGTGCCAGAGAAGCCATCAGCTGAGCACAGTCCCCATTTTAAATTCTGGTTGCCCAATTGGTGAGCTGTTGACTTTGGTCAAGTTACTTAACCTCTCTGTGTCTTTTCCTTATAGGTGAAATGGAGATAACCCACGTCATGGTGTGATTGTGGGATTCACTGAGTTAATATGTATGAAGTGCTTCCTTGCACTGCTCAGTACACTACCATCTCTGCAATTCCCATTTTTTGAACTGAAACTGATACTCAGAGAAATGCTGTCACATTCATTTCTGTTCCACTAAGAGTTTCTGGAGGAGCTCTGGTGGCATAGTGTCTAAGGCACTTGACTGCTAACCAGAAGGCTGGTGGTTCAAACCCACCAGCCACTCCCTGGAAGGAAGATGGGGCAATCTACTTCCGTAGTGATACCGCCTCGGAAATCCAAGGAGCGGTCGCTATGAGTTGGGTCCAACTCCACGGCACATAACAACAACAACAACAAGAGTTTCTGGAGCCCAGATTAGCACCATCCAGCCTGCGCTAGGCCCCATGCAATACAAGGACTGGGAGTCATGGGCTTTGCCCACACAATAGTGTCAGGTAGATGCTCAATGGTTACAGAGACTACAGGTAGTCCCCGATTTACAACGGAGTTCCGTTCTGATGACGCCACTTAAATTGGTTCTCACAGAAGTCATTAAGTCAAATACTTTTTTGTTTTGTTTTCATTATTATTGCCCTTTATTATCAGTATCTTCATAAGCAGTGTTTTGAACAGTAAATCATAAAATTGAACATCTGCGAATTAACATGTGAGAATAACATCAGCAAATTATGTGCTACAACGTGTTACTAAGATACCAAAAAACTCACTGCCTTTGAGTTGAATCCAACTCATAGTGACCCCTCCTTGGGTTTCTGAGGCCCTATCACGACAGAAGTAGATTGCCCAATCTTCCTTCCCAGGAGTGGTTGGTGGGCTTGAACCACCAGCCTTCTGGTTAGCAGTCTAATGCTTTAGGCACTAGGCCACCAGAGCTCCCTGTTACTAAGATAAGGTGTACAAAAAAAAAAAAAAAAAAAAAAAAAAAAAAAAAAAAAAAACAGTTTGCTTGTCTGCTGGCTGGAGAAGGGAAGATAAGTGAATCTTATGCAGAGAATAATAGTTCCAGCGACTGGGGAAGTATGGCATGGACTTAAGTGAGTAGTTTGGAAAAGGGCAAAGCCCTTACAATAGTTAGCCATCTTAAGAAAATATTTGGCTCTTTTTAGAGATGAGGAAAATGAACTGCAAAGAGGCTGTGACCTCCAGACCCATTCAATTTCTCAAAAATCCTCTCTCCTGGCACTTCTTGGATGCTTTCTCCAACTCTGAAGATATGATAAACCAAAAACCAAACCAAACCCACTGCCATGGAGTTAGGTCTGACTCATAGCGACCCCTCCTTGGGTTTCCGAGTCAGTATCACTACAGAAGTAGATTGCCCAACCTTCCTTCCGGGGAGTGGCTTAATGGGTTTGAACCACCAGCCTCCTGGTTAGCAGTCAGATGCCTTAGGCACTCCACCACCAGAGCTCCGGAAGATATGATAAAGGCATGCCCAAAGTATGACAGACCCAAAGTTTCTCTAACTGGTTTCCTTATCTGTAACCTGGATATCACTTTCTTCCAAAACTACTTCAAACCATCACCACTCTCCTTAAATACCTTCTCCCTACCTGACAACAAGTAACCATGAGACCCCTTCTCTCCTCCCAGCCAATCTCCAAGGCCAGCCCAGTCCCTCCATCGCCACTCAGATGTTGCTGCATCGACCATGCCTTCTCTCTTACATGCCTTGAAACCCTCTGGTTGTTCTGGGTCTTTTTCCCCAACCTGGACAACATCCTCATGTATCTTCCAACTTAGAAATGTACAGCCTGGACCTGCATTTCCTCCCTGACCACTATCTTCTCTCTTTCCTTTCTCATCCACATTCAGTTTTAATGACCACATCTACACTGATAAATCCCAAGTAGTTACTTCTAATACTGGCTTCCCTCTCAGCACTTCTGCATGGGCACACTTCATGTGACTAGAACAGGATTCATCATTTTCCATCATCTTCCTCAGACCTGCTCCTACTTTATCTCATTTAGTGGTGCCACTCAGACACTCCAGCCAGCAATCTGGGAATCCACAACAGTACCTGCCTCTCTCTAGTCAATTCCTGTGGTTACAACAGTCCTACCAGTTTTTTTCTTTTCTTTTCTTTATTTCTTTTTAAATACTAATTTATTGAAATATGATTCATACCATAAAATCAACTCTTTTTGAATGGACAAAATTGGTTATTTTCCATATATTCACAGAACTGTACAACCATCATTATCTAATTTCATAACATTTTCCTCATCCCCAAATAAACCCCATATCCGTTAACTGTCATCCCCTCATCTCCCTACCTGTCCTCCCCCCTCAGCCCTAAGCAACTACCAACCTACTTTCTATCTCTATAGATTTGCCTGTCTGGGGTATTTAATATAAATGGAATTGTACAATATATAGTCTTTTGTGTCTGGCTTCTTTCACCTAGCACGTTTTTAAGGTTCATACATGTCATAGCATGTATAAAGCACTTCATTCCTTTTTTAAAAAATACTTTTTTATTGTGATAAATATGTATGTAACAATACATTTACCATTTCCAAAAATCTTCATACATACAGTTGAATGACATTAAATATGTTCATCATGTTGTTTAACAATCACCATTAACTGTTTCTGAATTTTTTTTAATCATAATCCTACATACTATACTTTCCAGCTATCTCTCAAGTCTGTTTGCTCCTGTCCTCTGCACCATCACTGTCTGGGTTCAGGTCTGTACCGTCTCTCATCTAGACTATGTTTTAGATTCTTTCCTTGTCTCCCTCATCTTACCTGGCTACCCACCTATGCCTCCCCCACCCTATTTGCTTTCCTCATAGTATTTATGAAAAAAACAAAACAAAACTCACTGCTGTTGAGTTGGATCTGACTCATAGTGCCCCTCCTTGGGTTTCCAAGGCAGTATCACCACAGAAGTAGATTGTCCAATCTTCCTTCTGAGGAGTCACTGGTGAGTTTGAACCACCAGCCTTCTGGTTAGCAGTCAGATGCCTTAGGCACTCCGCCACCAGAGGTCCCATAGTATTTATACTATCTAAAATTGTTTTGCTTATAAATTTGTTTACTGGTCTGTATCTCTCCCTCCACTATAATGTAAGCATCTTGAGTTTAAGAACCTTATCTGTCTTGTTCATGTTCTATACCCATCAGCTAGGTGAACACCTGTTACATGGTAGCTCCACTACCCATCTGTCAGTTTGTCATACTGTGGTAGCTTGCATGCTGCTTATGATGCTGGGAGCTATGCTACTGGTATTTCAAATACCAGCAGGGCCACCCTGGTTTCAGCAGAGCTTCTAGACTAAGGCAGATGAGGAGAAAGGCCTGGTGATCTACTTCTGAAAAATAGCCAACTAAAACCTTACGGAACATTGTCCAATATAGTGCTGAAAGATGAGTCCCTTATAAAGTTGTAAGGGTCATGAAAATCATGCAAGACTAGGCTACATTTTGTCCTATTATACACAAGTTCACCATGAGTTGGAGGCAACTCAACAGCAAGTACAATGACAACATGGTAGATACTCAAGGAATATTTGTTCAGTGAATGTGCTAGATCATTATTGGGCAATACAAACATAACACAAACCACAAATGTAAGCTACATGTAACTCTAAATTTCTTAGTAGCCATGTTAAAAAAAAAAGTAAAAAAAAGCCAGTGAAATTAATTTTAATAATGTATTTTATTAAATCTAATATATCCAATCATTTCAACAAATTAATAGAAAAAGTATTAATGAGAAAGCTTACATACCTTTTTCATACTCTAAGTCTTTGAGATCCTATGTGTTATTTTACACTTATAACACATCTTGGGAGCTCTGGTGGTGTAGTGCCTAAGTCATTTGACTGCTAACCAGAAGGCTAGTGGTTCAAACCTACCAGCCAATCCTCGGAAGGAAGATTGGGCAATCTACTTCCGTAATGATATCACCTCAGAAACCCAAGGAGGGGTCGTTATGAGTCAGAACCAACTCAATGGCAGTGAGTTTAACACATCTCAATTTGGACTAATTACATTGCAAGTGCTCAGTAGCCACATGTGGCTATTGGCTACTGTTTTGGGTATCAGGGTTCTAGACTTATTTCTATCATGTTGGCCTGGCTTTGATCCTGCTCTCTGCCACTGTAAGAATAGGTGTGATAATTAAATCACTAAATAACTTATTCAGTTAACAAACATCCTCAGAGAGTCTGCTGTGTTACCAGCATTGTTCTAAGAACTGGGTACACAAAGGTGAATTACAAACACTTCTCATCCAAGATGACCACAGTTTGGCATATAATGCAATAAAAGATGTATGTACAAATTGCTATAGGAACCAATTCATCCTGTCAGGAAGGGTCAAGAAAAGCTTCACAAAGATGAGGCTTTAATCCAGCTTTGAAGAAGACGTAGAAGTTGGCCAAGCTGACAAGGAAGAAGTGGG